CCCAAATTTGAAGTGCACTTCGAAGTGAATTTCAAATTTATTTCAATGTAAATGGATCTGTGCTGTCGCCATATGGCAAGCACGTCAATTTCAAGACAAATTGGACTTTGAAGTGAATGTAAATGCACCATTACACCTTTAATTTGACACATCATTCAGGACCTAAACGGTTAATTTTAGAGGAAAACCGATCTCACATTCTTGTCTTGGATTTTTATAAACTATCATTCGACAGCAACTTCGAATTTAATCCACGATCAAAAATTCCGGTCGAAAATTTAATCTCCGGTTAAATTCAAAAATGGTAACAAATGATAGTTTATGAAAAACTAAGATAAGGATGTAAGATCGGTTTTCCTCTAAAATTAACCGTTTAGGTTTTACAACCTGTTAAAGTAGCAAAAACGTCAATTTTCAACTGTCAATATTTCCAAAACAGTTGAACTTAGGGACTAAAATTTAGCACCAAAATGTATGGAAATAAAAACCCTAGAAAATGATGTATCACTCAACCCCTCTTCCCATTTAAAATTTTCTAGGGGGTGGCTCTGGGGTTGAAAGAGGGAAATAGATTTTGCATAAGAACTCATCCCCCTTCAAATTATAGTTGAAGGGTTTCAGGGATTTTTTCGAAAATTTTTCTACTCCGAGATAATAGGGGTGGGAAGTTTTCAAATTGACACCCTGTATAATCACTACCTGTAATTTTATTCATCTAACTAAATGAAAAATTCAATAATTTATTTGTCTCTCATGTATATGCAACTAGGGGAATTATAAACAACTTTCTTAACACAGCATTTTGTAGAAATAATCAAAGCCAGCATTTTGTTTCATATATAGGGCGGCGCCTAAATTGTATAATCTCATCCCTGTTCATATTCGAAAAACTAAAAAAATGAAAATTTTCAAAAAATTGTTTAAGGCTTATTTTCTGTTGAATTATAACATTTTTTTGCAGGCTTTCTAGTCTGTGATACTATTCCTAAGATACGCACATACAGGTATTTTATACGTAGGTGAAAGACAAAAAAAAAATTGTGATATTCTGTTGAAAATAGGATTTAGACTCCCAACAATGTCAATCTTAGGATAAAGTTCCAGAACCTCCTGCAGATCGAGCCTGGGCCGGTATTCTGGTTCTCAAAAACGCTCACCGCTTTCTAGTCGCTCGGCACTTTAAATGCAAATTTACATTGAAAGTGCCGAGCGACTGAAAAGCGGTGAGCGTTTTCGAGAACGAGAATACCGGCCCTTGGTCGCCCTTAGCTCAGTCAAGATAGCCAGTAAAACACCAGTCCACGTGACATGTTCATTACCTCTCTATTACGATTACATCGAAACACCATGTAGTTGTTAGTAAAAAGTTCACCATTTAGAACATTACCCTGCAGCCATGTTTCCGTGATTGCTATAAGTGGGTAGTAAGCTGCATGTAGAAAAATAAAAAATTCGTGGGTTTTTGAGTTGAGACCTCTAGTAATCTGGTAATAGCATAGAATGTTGGTTGTTGCAATTAATGTTGAGAAAGACAGATGGCTACTATTCTGCTCAAGCCGAGGTTCCGGCACAGATGAATTCAGTTAATTGCACAGATAAGTATGCAGCAGGACGTCAACATTAGAGGAATGGTTACAAGAGGCTGCCCGCAGGAAGGTGTGCTATCACCTCTCCTGTAGAACATGGTTTAGACTAGACAGTCTCATTGACCGCCTAAACAATGAGAACCACTGCACAATAGCTTACGCAGATGACGTAGTCATCTTGCATAAAGGTAAATTCTAAAACTCGCTTTGCAAACGCATGCAACATGCTTTTCGAATTATAGAAAGATGGTGCACGCAATACACTCTGTTCATCAACCCCAAAAAGACTGAAATGGTCCTATTCACAAGAAAAAGGAAACTGGTACTTTCGACAGCACCCAGACTCTTACAACACCGAACTAAGTTTTGCCATCAAGGTCAAATATCTTAGAGTGACACTCGATTGCAAACCAACATGGAGCTCTCATATTGCCAAGAAAATACAGAAAGCATATATCGCCTATGAACAGTGAAGACGTACTATCGGTAAGACCTGGGGTTCTCCCCCAAGGTAGTTACCTATGGGACTATTGTTTGGGAACATAAGGCCGAACAGATTACTATAAGCCGAAAACTAGACCACGTTCAAAGTATGACACGCATCAACATAACTGATGCAATAAAAACCACACCAACTAGGGCTTTGGAAATAATTCTATGTTTGAGGCCCCTGGGCTGGGACTCTGTAACGAATAGAGATATTTTCTCTATCGCTATTGACATCTTTTCTCTATTGATTTCACCAAGAGAGAAGAAGACACGAAGTGCCATAGCAATAGAGATAACGATCTCTATCCGTTACAGAGTTACAGCCCTGGGCTGGGACTCCGTAACGAATAGAGATATTCTCTCTATTTCTATTGACGTCCTCTCTCTATTGATTCCGAAAAGAGAGAAGAAGACAGCAAGTGCCATAGCGATAAGGATAACGATCTCTATGCGTTACAGAGTCCCACCGCTGGATACTTATGTCAAGGAGATCGTTTTAACCACAATGTTGCGTTTCCGCGCTGTTGGAATAGAACCAAATGCAGAAGTCGGTTTGCAGAGAGCCCGCTAATGGCGTAAGGCAACGAACTCGCTCCATTGTTGGAGGCTAGAGTGGACTCTGCAACAGCATGTTTCGTCTTCAAAAAGCACTACGCAATCAACACGAAAGGTATTGGAAACAACACAGTGGCAATGGTAAGTAACATCTACACTGATGGTTCCAAAACTCAAACAGGCTCAGGATGCATAGTATACTCCAAAACTCTCAAACTGAACCTTGTTATAGCCCATGGCTCCATGCCTAATGTCCTCTAAACAGAAATTCCTGGCCAAACAAATAGTCAGCAACAATGAATGAAAAAATTCAAGAGCCCAAAAAGAATAGACAGCCTGAGAGCCTAGAATAGGAAAATTCAAAAGGAATAGAAAAAAATGAAAGCCTAGAATGAAGGAATAAGAAAAATTCAAGAATTCGACTGAAAAGTTTAATGAAAAGGAAGCATTTTTTTGCTAATATTTCCTTTCTGTTTCTCATGTTTTTTCCAACTTTCCTCATTTCATAGGCTCTTGAATTTTTATTTTCAAACAACAAAAACATATTTCAAAAAATTCCCAGAAAAATTCAGTCTGATGGAAGAAAATCATGAGAAGAGCCACTGTAAGTAAAAACAAGAGCTAAAAAGCTGGTCACATACTCATTAATTCATATTCTACAACTGTTGCTCCATTATTGATATTAAAACTTTTAAAACAAAACATTGCCCGATTGAAATTTCCCATGTTCCCACAATAATTGCCCATAGAAAACCGGGAAACAAAAGGGACGCGACCTCTGCCTAGATACAATATTTCTAGCTATCGATTTTAATGTTCTATCTGTACCTATAAAGTGAGTTTCAATTCATTAAATGCTATCCAATCACATACAAATCAAAAAACACAAAAACATTTCCCTTCATATGGCCATAGAAAATGTTATTGTATTGTGAAAGTTCCTATATCTGTACTTTTGTGTCTGTTATTGAAATAGTAGTTGGATGTGCGGCTTTGATCAATATAAATCTACATAAATTAAATGCCAGTTTAAGTAAAAATCCTTAGATTTGTTTTCACTACTAACCTAGCTTTCCGCATCCAACAATAAAACGCATTCTTGAACGGCACATTGGGTGGAATTTTTTCAGGAACGTAATTATTTTCGTCAGCCAAATCAGTCATGTTTTTTTTTGCACTGCTAAAAACTGGAGCACGATAGATAGGAAACGGACTCAAAATGTAGCTGTGTGAAACTCCCGGTCGCAGGAAGTCGTTTTTCAATTGATTGAATAATATATGAAGTATTGGCTTTGTATTAAGAGGATAAGCCCGACATTCTTTGGAGGAATATAAACTTATTCAGTCCTTCGGCCTATGAATTTGTCCCATGATTTGTATAGGATAATCATGAATTAGGACAATTTGAGTCTGTCAAAGTCTATGCTTTTCTTCTTTGATTCCACTATTTCAGTAATAAAGTTGGTGCATTCTTGATGGGACAATTTTCATTACTTAGTTTTTCTTAAATATTTTCTTTGTTTCCGGCACATTTCATGATCATAGGATGTTTAAATCTTCATCTTTACATAGCTGTTTCTCAGAATCACTTCTTATAGTTAAAGAACGTTGTTGTCTTCTATTTGAAACTTTTTCCATATTTCTGGAGAAAAATCTATTTCAAAAAGGAGTCTATTAGAATCCCACTCTCAGTACGAAACTACCCACAAAATGTTTATCTTCTTAATACATCATGAAGGAAAAACACATCTCACCCACATAAACGGCAAAAATAGAAAAACAAATAATTTTATCATCAAGTCCTAGTAGAAATGATAGACAATCGATATTATTCAGATTAAGGGAATGAACTTGACCCGGAAAGGTTGTTCGTTTTTCACTGATAATTGCTTCTAAAAAGCCCAATAATGAAGCATGAGAATTATACACAACTCAAATGGTATTTGATGTATGTTAATTTCAGTTTGGGTTAGTAGATAGTCCAACAAAGCTAGCGTGAGCTGTCTAATAAACGTTTTTACTTTATTTTCCGCTTTTATGTTTTTTCATCAAGAAGCCTTAATAGAAATCCGATAGTCATTAGCCTCTATTGTCTAGCTTTATTGTGATTACTTTTTTCAAGTTGATTAACGGATTATGACACAATAACAGCGAAATTTTATAATCCGAGGCAAATATATTGCATTTGTCATGTAAACCTGCGTTGTATAATTTTTGAGGGTAGTTAAGTGTGTTAAAACAAGAAATAATAAGATTAACTGAGGCTTGATTTTGAAAAGACTGACAAAAGTCTGTCAGTTCTTGCCTAAGCTTAAGCCTGTTAGAGAATACTGCTTTGGTCAATAAATAGTATTATCATCATTTTCTTACCTCTCTTGATGTTCCAGCTCTTGAATGATGATGTTGGCAATAGGGTCTGTAATGGGTCTTTCGCCCAACAGCCTCTGCCTGTCAGGATCTGCTTGCATTTGGGCGAAAGTGCCTGCGTCGCCCAAAGTGATTTCCAAATGGTTACCGATTGGCAAACTTTCATCGTCAGCTACAAATAAAAAGGCGCTTTTCAACAATATAATTTATAAATCTTTAAATAAAAACAATCATAATCCTATGTAAAAATCTAAACAAATTCAGATGACAAGATTGCATAATTTAATTACTCACAAAAATCATCAAAAGCCTCATTAATCATTTTGCAATAAGCACTCAATGAAATACCCTCAACCCTCAACTTCACAAACACGACAGATTATCGCCTTATCATTCATTGTTTTGTTCTTAACACTTCCATTTTCCATCCTTGTTTCAGACCGTAACTGTATATGCAACAAAATGAGGTAGAGAGCCCAATGTTCAAAATGCCAACGAGTAAAACAATAATTGTTAAAATTTCAAAAACTTGTTTTCCTTGATGGGATTAAGGTGATTCTTTTTATCTTTAGTTTAACAGTCGTGATTAGCTGGTTGTTTAGATTAAACTTGTACACATTTGGGTGATAAACTGATGTTTTTATTTCTAGAAAAGGAGCATCCTGGTTAACCATCAATTTCAGCACAAATTAACATAAAAAAATTGAAAATTTAGCAGCTTTGAAAAATTGAAAGTGATGTTTGCAATTAGTCAGATGGCTTTGACAACCAAATGAACCTTAATAAGTATGGGTAAGTATTTTGAAATACATATGAGTGTCCTATTTTCAAGCCTAATATTCTTTTAGTGGTTGTCTGTGGGCATGTCTATATGACGTTTCGTCTACTACTAGACATCTTCAAAGGCAATTTGGAGGATGAAGTATTTTCTTCATTATACCCCCAATAACTGAATCTAATGTAGGTTTGACTTAAAATAGGTAATTCAATTAGAAAACTTCATCTGATAGGCATAGAGACAATCTGATGTTTGCCTTTATCTCTTCAATAAGAAAAATACTAACAATTTTGGGGATTTCCAAAGAATTTGTAACATTACGATCTATCGATTTTTTAACTACCCGCCTTTCCGCACTAGTTAATTGATGTCCAGTTCGGTGCTCGTACCCACTAGGTAGGGAAACCACTGTCAAGGGAACCCCGTCTTAGTAACCACAGACCCCCCTACAACCCATCGCAACCATGGTCAAATCAGCGGGAAAAGTGGATTTCTTTAATTACATATATCAACTTCAGTTTACATAGTCTACGCTCAATCATCATGTTTCCTTTTTGTTTCTAGTTTATGCTACTCTAATCTGGTTATTCTTCCATGTCGGTATCCCTCACTACTATATACAGGGTGTCCATTTTAAGTGATACCACTATTGCTATCTCCGAAACGGTAAGAGATACGAGGTCGGTTAAATTAGAAAAAAGTTGCCTTTTTTGATGCCCATTCAAGACTCGTTTACAGTGTTGCCAAATTCCTTTTAGTTTATGAAATACAGGGTGATTTCTAAAAAACGCCTAAAACTATTTCATCAATTATTTTGAAAACTATTGACTTTCGGGACACAATTTAAATTTGAAAGTTTTATAATTTTTATCGCTTTACAACATGGCATCTTCAAATTTCCAATCCGACGTTTCATGATCGACCTACCATCATCAACTTCATTTTTTCAAATACAGACCTGGATTTTTTATGTCATTTTTAGAAAGCGCCCTTTATTCTTTTTTCAACGATATACCTCTTAAGTATGATTGGCGTGATTTTTACCAAAATTTTACCTTGATTAGGCCCTGGAATTCGTTATTTGTTACAAAGACGGTCTAACAAGTACTTTTTTCCTTTATTATTTAGAACAAAATTAACAGAATAATTTTGTATGAACACTTTAAAATTATCTAATTATGAACAATAAATAAAATAATTACTTAGAAACTAATTACGTACATATTTTGTAATTTCATAAATTCAGGTTGGCATCACTGATATTGAATATAAATAAATTTCATCAAAGAATGCCTCGAAAAAAATTAAATTGACAGCTGTGCAACCTGTCAAACATTTCTTTATTATTTATTCATTTTAAAATTACTGTTAAATGAATAAGAGTACAGTGATTTTCATTATGGAGTTTACAAAAATACCAGACATTAGAAGAATTCAAAGAGAGGATAAGGGCTGCATGTGCTAGAATAAATAATAGTTATTTGTATACCAACGCCGCAAAATCTCATTGTTGCTTGCGGCTGTGGCAAGATAATCTCGAAAATGCTGAAAAGTTTCGCGGTCATGGGATACACACCACGTAAGGTGTGGCGGTCGCGAAATTGAATTTCGCGGACGGTTGCATGAAAAACAATAATAAATAATATTTAAAAAAAAGATTGTGAAAAATTGCAGATGATGCTTAAGGAATAATGGACGTCAATTTGAGTAGCTACATATTCACAATAATAATTAGTTTCTAATTCATTATTTCCAATATTGTTTATAATTAGATAATTCTAAGTGTTCTAAATGAAAGGAAAAGAATACTTGTTAGACCGACTTTGTTACAAATAACGAATTCCAGGGCCGAATTAAGGTAAAATTTTGGTAAAAATCACTGATGATCAACTTTCAAAGCAGAAACGTCGGCCAATCATACTTAAGAGGTATATCGTTCAGAAGGGGATAAAGGAAGTTTTCTAAAAATGACATAAAAAATCCAGGTCCGTATTTGAAAAAATGAAGTTGATGATGGTAGCTCGATCACGAAACGTCGGATTGGAAATTTGAAGATGCCATGTTGTAAAGCGATAAAAATTATAAAACTTCCAAATTTAAATTGTGTCCCGAAAGTCAATAGTTTTCAAAATAATTGATAAAATAGTTTTAGGCGTTTTTTAGAAATCATCCTGTATTTCATAAACTAAAAGGAATTTGTCAACACTGTAAACGAGTCTTGAATGGGCATCAAAAAAGGCAACTTTTTTCCAATTTAACCGACCTCGTATCTCTTACCGTTTCAGAGATAGCAATAGTGGTATCACTTAAAACGGACACCCTGTATATATTAACGACATTGTATCTATTGGAATTAGTGGTCGTTTCACATTGCTTGCCGACGACACAACAATCTTGTGGAGGGAAAAAGACACAGAAACATTAATATCAGCGGATATAGGGCTGGTGAAACAATGGTGTGATTCTAACTTCCTGTCATTTAACGTTAGTAAAACCAGCATCCTCACATTTAAATGCACGATTCCAGATGTATCCTTACTGGACAGCATCATTATTGAAAATAGACCAATTGCAAAGTTCCTGGGATTACATATACCAAATTGAAGTTTCCAGAACATATATACAGTTCAATAAAAAAACTTTCATCTGCATGTTATGCAATGAGAATTGTATCAAACAACTTGGGTCATTCCATGGTGAGGAAAATGTGTATTACTCTTTGATAGAGTCTAACATCAGGTATGGTATTCCCGAGGGTATTCCTTTTTGGGGCTTTAGTGCTCAGTGTCATATCTACTCGATTTTTGTATTACAAAAACGTTCTCTTAGATACTTGTGTGGAGTGAAACCTCAAGAACATTGCAGACCTCTTTTTATAAGGGAAAAATTACTGACTTACTTCTGCATTTTTATATTGGAAATGGTGACAAGGGCATAGAATTTTTCCCTTATTTGTGTAATCAATATGGTCGAAATGAAGGATCTCTAAGATTACCAATACCAAAGAGTACTCTCACTAAACAATCTGTGATATTTGAGAGCCTTAAGATTTACAATCAGCTACCATTGTCATATAGGAGTATAGAGAATACAAAGAAATTCAGGCAGAAGGTGAAATTGTTATTGCAGGCTAGTAATAATGAGTACTTTAATGATAATATTACTGGGGTTGTTGGAGTGCTGTAGTAATGATTTAGCCTGATGACGGTGTTTTTTCTTTTTCTTTTTTCACTCATTTTCCATTCTGCTTTGTTTTTTATAGTTTCATTAATATTTTTATGTTCTTTGTAATTCATTCGTCTCCTTTTCGCTGGTTGTGAAGGTGCCATCATCCTTCTCTATATTAGCGGAAGGATTACCTTTCTTTTTCTTCCCTAGCAGTTTCCAGGGTCTGTGCCAGGGTTCCTCATTAGATACGTCCTCCACCCTTCTCTGTATTGTCCTGTGTCTCGCTTCCTGTATGGCTCTCTTGTAGTCGGTTCGCTGAGCCCTGTAGTTTTGAGCCTGAGTCGCTTCCTTTTTGGTCTCCCTCGTTCTGCCACTCTCTTCTGCTTTTTCTTGTCCTCTGCCTGATTTTCTGCAGATAATCGTCCACCATTGTCTGGTGTGTTCTACAACGAGTCTTGTCTGTCTGGATTCTTGGCATGTTCTGCCTCACATCTCAAAACAGGGGAGCAGTGTTCTCATGTCTTCTGTCTCAGTCATTCACGTTTATATTTCCAGAACACTGACAAAGACAGAGCAATCATTCTCGTGAGAATGCTGTTCCACGGTTTCGAGAACAGACATCTTGGAGCCTTGTTGCTCTCTCCTCCAGTTGTTACCTTGTCGTCTGCCCCCATGTGTATTTGTTCGACCGTGTTCTCAGGCATTCTTTGAACCTTTTCCAGAACCATAGTCGTATTCTTTTTTGGCTGGTGGCCTGCTGGTGAGTAGATATTAAGTCGCCTCTTTCTTTTCTTTCTTTCAGAGTTATTAAGTTAAATAAATCTTTGTAATCTGATATCATATGGAAGATTATGCATTTCAGCACATTCAAGCAGCTCTATATCCTTGCAGTAGTACGGGTTCCAGACTGTGTGTGCGTACTCAAGTTTGGGCCTTATGTAGGTTGTATAGACTTTTGGATAGTGATTGGTAAAAGCCGTTTTTACTAGGTACACCAATCAGTTGGTCGCTTTCTTCACAATTCGGCCTATGTGTGTTTCGTCTATGTGTTTCCCATTTAAGATCTTGGCTTACATACACGCCCAAATATTTTTGTTGGTTAACATTCTCTATCTTGGTTCCCTCAATTTTGTAGTCAATTAACGGGTTATTTTTCTTTCAGATTCAGCTGCCACGTGTCAGTCCATCGTTCGATTGTACTGAGGTCCTCTTTAAACTGATCCAATTGCTTCAATGGGTTGCAGAAGAGTTTTTTGTTATCTGCAAAGGATACTGAGTTAGTTTTTAAACTTTTGGTTAGGTCTGCTATATAAAGTAAGAAGAGCATAGAAGCCAACACTGATCCCTGCGGCACACCGCTGATTACGGGGTGTAGTTCTGAACAGATTATAATGACCCTGACTGAAGTCAGTCCATTAAAGATAGGATCCTCTAATCCCGTAGTGGTCTAGTTTGTGGCAAAGTATTTCATGTGGAAAGGTGTCAAAAGCCTTTTGAAAGTTGAGATACCCTATATCTACTGGATTGCCTTCATCAACTTCTTTGGTCCAATAATTAACACAATTTAAGAGGTTGGTGGTGGTTGATCCTTGTCGTAGAAATCCGGGTTGTGACGGTGGAATAATAGAACTTTCCAGTAGAAAACTTGTGATATCTTTTGCAAGTATTTTTTCCATAACTTTACAGAGTGTGCGCTCTGGTCAGTAGCTTGCAGGATGATATTTGTCTCCGCTCTTAAAAATTGTGATTATGATAGCCTGGGTTCAAATTTTTGGTGGAATTTGTGGGGAATGTGAGGAATTTGTGGGGAATTTGGATGAATTCGTGGGAAGTTTGAGGAATTGTTTGCACAAATTTGGGAGGGTGGTTTACCCCTTGCTAAAAATCATAACTTCACAATCTAGAAACATCAATTGAAAATTATTTAAAAAGTTAAATTACTCACGATGTAAAGTGTGTTGCGGATTGTCAATAATTCGAATCTGTCTATCTGGCATGATTGGTTCGCCGTCCGGTCCACCGATGTCACTGGGCAACTGATATCTGAAAAATAAAAAAACCATTAATTTGAATTCCTGAACAATTGTCAAGAAATCAATTTTTCACCTGGCAGCGTTTTCTTCCTGTTTCGATCGCGGGAAGTACAAAGGCAATAAAACTTCGTAAATACCTAAATCTACTTTGTCAACAACAAATATCACAGTGTCGAGCGAGTTGCCGTGTCGCTCTAAAAAGCGACGAACAGTGCCTGGAAGAAAGAAAAAAACACATCATTATTTAATTAAGCTCTAAATTGGAGGTTTAATTAACTCACGTAAAGCTATATGAGCGCCTTGATCCGGTGGATAATTCCTCTTTAACGAATTCACCACGGGTATAGCTATCGAATGGATGCCCATTTCTTTCGCTTTTTGCAAAATATTTCTATAGCACATGTGGAGAGTGTTCTCGGAAGCTGTCTGATATCTAATATTATACTTGGGCCCTACCGTATGGATAACGTAACGGGCAGGAAGAGAATGGCCTTGGGTCACTTTTACTTCACCTGTCCGGCATTCTAGAAAATAACAAGTAGATTATGACTTATATACCTACTCAGAAGAGTATTGAAATACAGAATAAAGTATGGTGATTTTACTTGGGAAATAACTCATTTTACTTGATCTTTTGTCATGTGGGTTGGAAAAGTGCCTCATATTACAAGACTTTAATTTTCACTCTGCTCAGTATGAAATAAAACTGCATATTCATTTGAGTAATTTACCTCTAACATCCGATTTAATTTCCTCTCTTAGTCGAGGTCCAGCTCTCTGGAATATACTATCACTGACCGGGTTACTGTCGTTCATAGCCTCATTTGTGGAATTGACTATAGCGTCTACTTGAAGGGAAGAAATATCACCGTCCCTATAATACGAAAAAATTATTTCCTGGGCCAAAAAAAGAACATCTGACCTAGAAATATATAATGAATGAAGCCACAAACCCATTTCCAAAAGTTGTCTGAATAAGAAATCAATAAAAAAGTCATTAGTGAAAAATAAATTTCACCTACCATAGCACCAGCTTATGATTGATACTGTCATCCCAAGGAAATTGGGACTCGTGCACGCTTTTTGCCGCATTCGAGGGGACGTTCACTGACGCGTGCTGCCTTGAGGGCGCATCTCCCCATCTATTCAGCTGCTGGGGAAGGACTACAGGCGCTGGCGGCATGCCCAAAGGCTCAGGATCCATTACAATGCGCATTTAGACAACCTGAAAATATTGAGAAGAATTACTTCAGTATATTGAATTTTTATTTGGAGTTATTGACCTCACTAATTACTAATTATTTACCAACAAATACTAGTTTATATTTTAAAGATCCACTTTAAAGTCCTTACATACTCTCAAGAGTATAACTAATGGTTTGAAGAATTACTAAAAAATGCAGATCACATAAAGTGCCATTGTCTTAAGAATAATAATCATTGAAATGATAATAAATTTGCTGTGAATAAACTTTACGAGATAGAAAAAATTAATAGCACAAGCCAATAATCATTATCATTGACGTAAATGATAATGAGTTTATTGGAAATTGCCTGACAAAAAATAACAAATACATATTTACTTACATTTTAAAAAGTTTTAAAATTGACGAGGTGAACAAAATACAAACTCACAATGTGCGGTGATTTTAAAATAAGGTCTCTTCCTGAAGCAAATACAATATAAATTCACAATCTACTGATTTAAAAAGTGTCATTTCAACAATCACATATTGATTTACTTCTTATCTTTGCTCTTATCATTACAAAATGCGTTCATTTTGAAAAAAAGTTACTAATCATGTTTATGTTTTAGATCAAAAACAGCGATTGGTAGTAATTAAAACTAGTAAGTAATTTATTTACAAAATGGAAAAACCAAAAGAATTATTTTAATAGGCGGAGCTTATTGAAGCCTTGGTAGGTTTCCTTACTTCACTCGTTTTGCTAAAAATACGCTTAACAAATTATCTATAACTGAAACTAGACAGCAACATTGCTAATTTTTCAATTTTCTGTATCAATGTGGTGATTGAATACTGTAAACATGTTAGTGACAATCGATGAGTAATAAAAATTTGTAATAAATTGTCTACTCACGTTTTGTTGCGGCGCAATATGTTTTAATTACTTTACTTCATGAAAATACCTATAGGCTGGCAAGTACTGTGTGATATTTTTAAAATTTTATCAACCTAAATGCCACAGAGGTCAATAATTTGTGTACTTTGAAATGAAATATTCAAAATTTGTTATTATGGTTGTATAAAACCAACAAAAAAAATCTTATTGAATAATTTCAAGTGCTTCTTTTTCACTCTAAATAATAAAAAAAGTGTTTAAAAACTGGGTCACAATCAGTCAATATCCGCGATTTAGGTTTGCATATAGGCTATATGTCGGTGTAGAGGTCAAGAGTGGTGGTTTTGAGGCTTCCTGAAAATTCCTTATTAATTATTTGCAGCCCTTTTGTGCCGAAAGGCCCCTCAAGGGAAAAGGACGTCGAGTTTGGCCTTGCACCATGCATAAGTAATGTTGCATTCGAGTCCAGAGATAAACGCAGCCTTGGTTTATAGTATAACATTTGGTTGGGAGGACAGGAAATATAGATATATTTTTTTTAAATTAATCTAAAAGGTTTTGCAGTTGATAAAGCCAAAAATAAACCAAAATCGTCATCAATGTCATACAGCTCCAAGTTGTCAACTGCTCATGATTTTTATGCCTACTTTTTTTGCGTTCTTTTCTTATATTAATCTTTGTATTTTTTCATATTATTATGTCTTACAGCCTCTGTTATCATGACTGAAGATTTATATGTAGAAATGTTGGAAATTTGAACAATTTGAGATCACGGTCTCATGCTCAGATGATATATTTTTAAATCTAGATAATCTTGCAAATCGTAGCGTATATCAAATATTAGATATTAGGTACAATGCCCAAAAAATCAGTATTGATTAAAGCTAAGAAATCCTTCAATAATGGTAGAAAATTATGGAAAATGTTTCAATTTTAGACCCATTTAGGGCAGTTTCTCGTGATATTTAAATAATCTTGTCAAAAGGTAATTAAAAAGGGCAAATAAGGGAAAGTTTTGGTGTAGATTTGATAGTTGGTTCCTACATGTTTTATAGGCAGATGTACACGAATTTTATGTTTGCCAACACGATTTTTCACCGGAAACTCTTTTTTCGTCCAAAAAAAAAAAGATTATTTTTTATTTTTTAAAAGAGTTCCAGATAACAGCATAAAATATCCTATATTTGATGTCATATAGTTTTGTTCCATCCCAGCAGGGACATTTTACCGTCAGGATTCAGTGCAGAACCTACCTGCAGCGGTATTATCTGATTTCTCAAAGGCTTTTCACTGCGTGAACCACAAAATACTGCTGCGAAAAGTGTTTCATTGTGGCATCCGGAATACTTATTTGGATTGGTTCAGTTCAATGCTTTCGGGGAGATTCCAGTTTGCACGTCTGAATGGTGCCGACTCGGCAAGAATGGAGGTTGAGCATGGGGTCCCACAGGGTTCGGTACTGGGGCCAATTTTGTTCCTTGCTTATGGCAATGATGTGCTCTCGTTACCGATCTCAGCTAAACTTACTGATGTCTTTGCTGATGAAGCAAATTGTTTATGGACCGAAAAAAACTCAGATTTGGATCAGCTTAAAACAACCATTAAGCAAGATCTTTTGGTAATAAAAGCCTGGTGCGACTCAAACAAACTGTGTTTTAATCTGGAAAAACAAACTAATGTTTAAGTGTGCCCTGGATAATGTCAAACTTCAAGGAAGGCCTCTGGAAAGCAAATCAACCATAAATTTTAGGGTTGCATATAAACTTGCAACTGAAATTTGAAACGCACATTGATACTCTAACCAAAAAACTAGCTACAGGCTGTTACATTGTCAGAACTATTTTTCAGGAGCTTGGTAAGGACGCGGCGAAAATTGTATACTTCTCGCTGCTTAGAGTCACATATACGCTATGGCATTGCTTTCTGGGGGTTTGCAACTCAGAGATCAGTTCAATCGGTGTTTGTTCTGCAAAAAAGAGCTGTCCGCTACTTGTGTGATAGAAGATGCAGGGAATCGTGTCGACCATTATTTAGGCAGGGGGGGGGGGGTATTGACGGTGGCTTGTATTTTTGTTTTGGAATCTGTTAGTTTGATTTATAAGAAGTTTTCTAGTTTCGTGCAGAATAGCAGATAGTATTAGTAATGGCAGTAGTTTTACTTGTGAGAAACCTCTTTGTCTTCAGGTTCTAGTTTATGTAGAAAAGACTCTGTCAAACGAAAATACTGTGGATCTCTTAGTACCTAGGAATGGTAATAGTAACAATCAGTCTTTTTTAGTCAGTCCAGACAAAAAAAAATATGCAACCTAATGTTAATAAATATAAGGTTTATGTCAAATAAAGTGAACGATCTTTTGTTGTTTCTGGATTGTTTCCTGAGATAGGTGTTATTGTGGAGCACTGGCTGAAACCTGATGAGACAATTTATGTACCAAACTATGTACTAGAACCCTGTGTTCCCACGGAGCTACTTTAATATTAGTGTGTGAAGTTTTTCTGACCAACTGTTGTGAGTTGGTTCAGACAGATAAGTATGACTACCTTCTTGAGGAGAGAGGGTGCGAGTCTTCAATTCTGTTTTGCGCTAGGCTGAAACTGTATGTTTTAAGTTTTTACAGGTCCCCATTGGCAAATGTGAATCTCTTTTCTGAAAAGCTGGACATGTTGTTCTCAGAGATATTCAGTAATGCTTCAGTGATTGTTGTGGATGACATTAACGTTGACTATTTGAATCAATCCTATCGAATCGTTGAGTTTCTAAAAAATATTCTAATCTCTCAATGCATGTTACCGAACCAACAAAAATAACCCCTACTACCTCTAGGTTAATAGATTATGTCTGCTCATCATTTGGTCAGATGGAAACTCTGTGTTCGACAATTATTGCTGGATTGTCTGATCATGAAGCAATATTCTGTTCATTTCCAGCTCGATTTCCAGTCAATTCTATGAAGCCAAGAAAAATCTTGAAACAAGGCAAACTGTTCACTAAGAAAATTTTTAATAAGTTTGGTTTGCTATGCAATCACAAAGACTGGAATAAAATATTTTCAACTGAAGACTCTTTGGAGCACTTTCATCTACTTTTAAGCAATAACTTCAACATTTCTTTTCCTATTATCAAGATAAAGCATAAGAGGCTCAATCCCTGGTACACAAGGGGTTTTATTATTCTGAAATATACTGTAAAACTTACAGAAGGGTGGTTAACATGGCAGAAAGGTTGTACTATGGGAAACAAATTGAACAGTCATGCAAAAAAACTAGAGAATCATGAAAACTTCTAAATAAATTTAGAGGTAGAAATTCGTCCATTGTTTACAGCGTTTGTGGATGATCAGACAATTCTATGGCATGACCAGGAAGTTAACAGGCTTTCTAAGATTATTCACGAAGATGTATTTTTGTTGAAAGAATGGTTTGATGCAAACCGATTATTCTTCAATATTTCGAAAACTAATATTCTTGATCTTAATTTAAGTGAGACATTAACAACATTCAGCTGGTAAATGAAGGTTTCTCAAATCCCGAATCGAATAAATTTCTTGGCTTATCAATAGATAAAAACCTCAAGATTTCTGAATTATGTTAAAATTATTAATAAAAAAAAATGCTTCTGGTTGCTATGCACTTGGAGTAATATCAGATAACCTCGGCCTTGAAATAGCTAGGAGTGCTTACTTTATCCTATGGAATATGCTACTGGGTGTTGTGCAAACTCCCTTTTTAAATCTGTATTTGTGTTGCAGAAGAGAGCACTAGAAATGTATGTAGATTCAAAAAGGGATCTTCATGCAGACCTCTATTTCTGCAGCATAAAGTTTTCACCTTGTTTTGTATACTATTTATTCTTGAAAAAGTATGTGTTGTCCAAGGTGTTGTCTTTGAAGCCACTTATAAGGTTTAGGCAGAAAGATGTTATTTTGATTATATTGGGAGAACTGAGCATAATGTATTAAAAGATCACAAAAATTTCTGGAAATATATCCATTCTAAAACTCATTCTATTTCTAGGGAGTTGCCACCCATACTCTATTATCAAGGGGGCGTGGCGTCTGATGGTGTGGGCATTGCCACAACCCTGCATTGCAAATCTCTTTGCAAGGCACTTTGCATCAGTCTACGCGTCTGCTGGTCCTATGGGTAATGTGGGCAGTTGTGAACCTGTTGCTTTTCGAGACATGGTACATATCAATAAATTACCTATTAACATTAGTGAAGTTTTCAATAATCTGAGTCACATTGATATAAATCGAGATATAAATAAAGGTCCAGGACCTGATGGAATACCTCCAACATTTCTTAAGAACTGTGCACTGGCCTTATCTAGACCCTTGTGGCTGTTATATAATAAATCATTGTCTGTTGGAGTCTTTCCTAAATATTGGAAACTATCTTTTGTATGTCCGATTTCTAAAAACCCTGGCAACAAGGAAGATGTTGAGAATTATCGCCCTATTACACTATTATCTCATTTCCCAAAGATATTTGAATCACTGGTAAACGATTTTTTAACTGAAAAACTTAAAAATATAATAATTCCAGAACAGCATGGTTTTACCAGTGGTCGATCTATAGCAACAAATTTGCTAGTGTATTAACGAGCCATATCGGGGACCTTGGAAGCCGGTCAGGTTGTAGATTCTGTCTATAATGACTTCTCCAAGGCCTTCGATAGGGTGAGTCATGCATTGTTGATAGAAAAACTTTTTAATATGGTGTATGTGGTTCACTTCTTCAATGGCTGTATTTTTATCTTGTAGACAGAAGCCAGATTGTAAAGGTGAAGTAATTTCAATCTGAGGATATCAGTGTCACTTCTGGGGTGCCTCAGGGGGTCATCTTGCACCACTCCTGTTCTGCTTATTTATTAATGACAGGGTCTTGCTTCCATCATGTCCAATTTTTATTATATGCAGATGACTTGAAAATTTTCAAGAGTATAAATCAAGAAGGCCCAGACAGGAGAATGCAGAATGATCTTCTGAGGTTCCATGAGTGGTGTGTTGAGAACGAGATGATGTTGAATGGCAAGAAATGCAAATACATATATTCAGTTCTCTAGAAAAAATTCTCCCAAACTAAATGACTATTATATAAATCATAATGTTATTGAAAATGTTTCTAGTATTCGTGACCTAGGTGTTATATTTGATGCAAAATTGTCATTTTCTGAACACATTTATGCATGTTGTAATAAAGCATTGAAAATGTTGGGTTTTATCAAAAGACACACAAGAGACTTTAAGAATGTTTCTGCTCTAAAGTGCTTGTATGTGTCATTGGTTCGTTGCCATCTTGAAAATAATAGCCGTGTGTGGTCACCACATTATAAAATTTATATTGAATTAGTTGAACGTGTACAGAGAAAATTCTTGAGATACATAGGGTATTGGAAACATTGGAGCATAGGCGTAAAAAAATTGATCAGTTATTGATTTTGTAGTTACTCAGAGGTTATCTGAATTGCCCTGAGTTGCTCTCGGCTGTAAACTTGAATGTCCAGTGAGAAATTTTAGAGCTGTGCGCTGTTTTTTGTTGGAGAGACATCGTACCTCTTATTACCAACATACAACCATTAATCGCGCTATATCTTATGCCAACAAGATACAGGTAGACATATTTACTGCGTCTTTGCACCAAATAAAGCTATCACTGTGATATTGTTTTGTAATCTAGTGATTTACACTGTGATCTGTTTTTGGCTGTTTTTTGTTGTCCTTTCAATTTTTTAGTTTAGAAATAATTTATTGTACTCTTTTTAAATTTTTTATTTATATGTGGTTTGTTATTAGTATTAATATTATTATGGCAATATCTGTAAAATTGGGTTGAGTCATTAAAGCCTGTACATACATGATTATATGTACGATTGCTTCTGGTTTTTATTAAAAATTAAAAAAAATTGAATGAAAAAATTAAAATTCGAGAATACCTGTTTTACCTTGGCAGGTTGTCAGGTAACCTAGGTAGGCAGTAAAGTAGCACTTTATTTTACTAGTAAAATAAAGTACGTAGCACTTTATTTTACAATAAAATAAAGTGCTACTTTATTGACGCAAAACTGTTCTATAAATAGCATTTTATTGGTTAATCGGACATAAAAATGTTTATGTCCGATTGACCAATAAAGTGCTATTTATAGAACAGTTTTGCGCCAACAACAACAGGTTACAAAAGGTTTCGGCGTATGACCAAGGAGTTTTTGGTCTCTAGGGCATTTTATACTTTGGATGATTTTTTTACAAATGAGCATGAAGTTCTAAGGCGGTCAAAATGTTTATTTTATTTTGTTTCACTGTAAGTACAGTCATGAGCATTAAAAATGGGACACCCGATTTTCCCTATTGTAAAACGGGCTCTCCCGCTACACCGTCGGCAATGACAGGGATTGTCATACTTATTTGACAAAAAATCTGTTTTACAGAAAAGACTGATTTACCCGAGGATTTACCCAAAATAGCGAAAAATGACAAGACCTATCAGTCCGGTGTCCCACTTTTAGGCCCAGTTATACAATCTTGGTTCAAAACCGAGTTCAGCTAAACTCGACTGGTACTTGAACTTCCCCATTTGAAATGCATTGCTCAAAATTGATAGAATTTGATTAATAGCTGACAGCAATGTATTTTAAATAGGAAAGCTCAAGTACAACTGAGCCTTAATGCTCACGACTGTACTTGTTGGTGCTCAATTTGGCTTGAGGCTAGATGCTCGGCTGGATGTAATTAGGTTTGTTTTATTTTTCAACTAGAGATGTATGTGCAATCCTGTGTGCAATTAATTTTAAGCATGGCTTTATCAAAAAGTATTTATAGGCGATTTCGCCTCAGTGTGGTCTGTCAAAAAGGTACCAATCAATTCCGGATGGGAGAATGATGCTGTTACTTCAACTTTGGTAGGTCTGTCAAATGATATACCGCGGTTTGCAACTGGCATTCAGGGTAGTGGATGTTTGGTAGCTTTCTGTCTCACTTTGAAGCACACAATAATTCAATTCTAAATAAACATGTCAAAGTCAAAATGTACCAAACGCTCGACCCACTTACTGAATTTGGATGAGATTGTTGAGCTACTTCACTCATACATACCAATTGGTTAATCATTCGCCTCCCAAACAGCATCAGATGAAGATCTGGGGCGAAATCGCCTTATGTGAAGTTGTTATGAAATTTTTGAGCATTTATCAATGTCCGAGGGTTAAGCTGGGTTTATACAGGAAATAAAATAAGAAATAAAATAAAATTAAAAGATGGCCTTATGAGAACCCATGGTTGCGTTTATACACAAAAATAAAATAAGATAACAAATAAGCAAAAATAAAAAGTTGGTTAACTTTTAACTTCTTATTTTATTTTATGTGAAAATGCTATTTGCGCATGTCACGACGTCGATTAGATTAGACCGATGACAGTTCAGGCGCGTGGTGATTGGTTCAAAATAATTCTAATTTTATTTTATATTTTTCTGTATAAACGCCTTATTTCTTATTTTGCTTATTTGTTATGTTATTTCTTATTTTATTTTATTTTATTTCCTGTATAAATCCAGCTTTATTCGGATAGAATTTTTTTTGACAGCAATGTCCGTGACAATGTCATAGAGTGAAAACAACCCATGGGCTGTTTTCAGTATAATTTTGACATGATTGGGTGATTTGTGTCACATGACAAGAAATAACAAAATTTAACAGGCTGTTAAAACTGTCAAAAAAATTTCACAGAAATTACCAACCACAGCATTTTCGATTGTTGCAAATCGCCAATAAACTGTTTTCAGACTATTTTCAACCAATGATATTCGCTCTGTCTGACTGGTTTGTGTCAGTTTTTGATTTCTGTGAGAACAGACCTGTCATTGTCATGCTGCAGAAGCTTTTTGTCTTTGGGAAATAATAATAATAATAATTGTGTGCCTTGTCTCATTATAATTAGGTCAAATAGCATGTATAGGTACTTGAATAAAGAAAAATTGGGGAAAAAAATACAATCCTAGAACTTTATAAAAACATAAAACCTCGCACAAAACATAGGATTATAGTGATGTAATGAAACTTTTGAACATAGAGCATTCAGCATTTTTCTATTTCACAATATATCCATACAAATACATTGAACATCCACTTAAATAAGCACTTTATAATTAAAAATTGTCCTTCAACCAGCATACAAAAGAACAAAGACAAAACTCGACAGTTCAGATAAAAATAAATGACTCAATGTTTACACAACCTGAACAATAAATAAATAAGGAAAAGAAAGGTGTGTGAGCAACAAATTTATTTTGCACAAGCCCAATAGGGAAATCACAGGGCCAAGGTCACTGTTTGGCTTAAATGAAACTATTTAGGTAATAAAATAAGGTAAGTAAAGTAAATATAAACAAACTTACCCAAAAACAATAACAAAAACAAGTTTGCTTAAAGTTTGTGTTTGTCAAACATTTCAGGAAATATTTTCAAGCACCTCAGTATTACCAAACACACACACACACACCTACAATAAATAGAAATAGAGGAAGGAAGAAATTGTGGAAAATCTGTGCAAAATAACCTGTCAGCTGTCGACTGTGTGGGCGAATCACGATTAGCCGTCCTTGTCATTCGCTTATAATTAGATAAAGAGACAAAATCAAGTCGATCAGTAAGGCGCTCTTACTAGAACGAAAATCGACTTTTTGTCGTATCGATATTCAATGTAAAAATAAGTTAAGGAGTTGGGAGCATTTTTATGCCTTAAAAATAGGATTGCCATGTACTCGATACTCAGTTTTCCTTGTATCGATATTTGTAGCTCCGCCCCTGGTTTGGTTTAGTTATCCGCGGTGTTGCCACATTTTGTAGATTTTCTTCAGCAGTTTGCACTCACTTTTCGATAATAAAAAATACAGCAGTTCTAAGGACTTGTTACATATAAGAGGCCTATTCGGGTTTGGAAAAAGTACGGTCCTAGAACGGTCCAGAAGAATCGCACAGTTTATTATTGAAATTTGTGATAGTCGAGTCGTTGTTATTTTGTTGATCGATAAACTGGACGACTGTTTTGAACCGTTCTAGAACCGTCCTTTTTCCAAACCCGAATAGGCCTAATATATTACCAAAATAATCAGTTATCAGAATCCTAAAAAAGAATTCATTTATTCAGTCCAGTGAATATTTTTGACTTTAGGCACTTTAGGCAATCATTAATAAACACTCAAAGTTGGCAACGTCGCCGAATAACATCCTACGTGTTGCCGGTCCCTGGGTCGGGTGATTTATTTTTTAATTTGACATTGTTATTTTGACAGCTGCCCACTTGGCACTTGCGAAAAATTCGCACAAATTTTTTAAAGGTTATGTTATTTTTTCGTCGGACAACAAAAATCTAAAATGGATCAACAAGATAAAAACGAAAACACCGATTCGCAAATGGAAATTGATCCGGATTACGAGAGCACCAACTTGGCAATTAGACGGGGCCGAGTAGAGGGTGAGGCTATAGCTTACCTATTTTTATACCATTGTAGCTTTGTATACAGGGTGTCCCCAACAAACAAAAGTTTTCTGTCCGCCCAAGGCGTTTAATAATTGTTATATGTTAACAATTATTATTAAACGCCTCATTTTTTTGTGGTGAGTGTACGTGACAACTATGTTTTCTATGAACTTAAAAAATTCTTCACATTTTCTTAACCGGTGTTCTTAACTTGGGCGGACAGCTGAGATTAGATTTGATTCTTCACATAGTTGAACAATAAACAAGTAAATATTTTGATTACAATTATTTATATAAATCGTATCTGATAAGGAATTTTACCCCATTCATTGTTTAGATACATAAGTATACAGGGTGACTCGTAATTTGAATGTATCATTACTTTGGTAACTTTGGTGAGAACTGATTATGTTCTTCGTAACAATAAAGCATATTTTGATTTGATTTGAAAAGGTAGTAGAGCAGATTATTAATTTAGGTCTATAAACCTAGCAGTCCCAAGGTGGAAAAAAACTTCGGGGTCTATATAATAATAAGGTGCTTTTTAGGTGCTTATTAGGGCCTCTAATTAAAAATTAGGTGCTCTTCTAGTTTTTGAGAAAATCAAAAAAAACTAAGAGATTGCTAGGTTTATGAAATCTAGTAGTCCTCTATAAGTGAAAGATATTTTTCCAAAATTTTCTTTTGTATCAGAATTGGTTGCTTTTTAGGTGCTCTAGTCAGCACCTAATTTCCAATTAGAAACCCTAATTAGCACTAAAAAGCACCTACTTATCACATAGACCCGAGCATAGACCCCAACGTTTTTTTTTCATTCTGACACACCACCAAGTGAACGTAAAGCCAGCAGTCCCCTTAAAATGAAAAAAAAAAACTCTAACTCAGTTAATGATCAATCGATTTAATTTTTTTTTCCGACTATTTAGGAGCACCTAAAAAGCACCTAACTTTGATACAAAAGAAAAATTTGAAAAAATAGTTTTTACTATAGGGGTTTGCTTAACCCAAGGCTTAACCTTTCATAAACCTAGCAGTCCCTCAGTTTTTTTTGATTTGCTCAAAAACTGAAGGAGCACCTAATTTTTTATTAGAGGCCCTAACTAGCACCTAAAAAGCACCTAATTATTATATAGACCCCGAATCTGTAACTCAGTTAAAAATCAATCGATTCAATTTTTTCTTCGACTATTCAACAGCACCTAACTCTGATATGAAAGAAAAATTTGAAAAAATATTTTTCACTATAGGGGTTTGCTAAACCTTTCTTAAACCTAGCAGTACCTCAGATTTTTTTCGATTTTCTCAAAAACTGAAGGAGCACCTAATTTTTAATTAGAGGCCCTGATTAGCACCTAAAAAGCACCTAATTATTATATAGATCCCGAAGTTTTTTTGCCATTCTGACACACCAACATGTAAACGTGAAGCCAGCAGTCCCCTAATAATTAAATAAAAATCTGTAACTCAGTTAATAATTAATCAATTCTATTTTTTCTTGGACTATTTGGGAGCCTAAAAAGCACCTAATTCTGATACAAAGAAAAAATTTGAAAAAATATTTTTTACTATAGGGGACTGCTAGCTTTCCTTAGTTTTTTTTGATTTTTTCAAAAACTAAAGGAGCACCTAATTTTTAATAAGAGGCCCTAATTAGCACCTAATTATTATATAGTTCCCGAAGTTTTTTTCCACCTTGGGACTGCTAGGTTTATAGACCTTATTAATTTGTAACTTATTTTACCACATTCATAATTATACCTTTAGGTATATAAATCCTAATGGCTTTCGAGTTATTTCAGTGTAGGTATTTTGGAAATTCAATTTATTTTTTTGCACAAAAAAGTAGGTACCAAAAATTAATCAAAGACAAGTAAGTACAGTAAAAAATGAATTTTCAAAAAACTCATATTTAGGGCCAAATTATGGACCAACTGGTAAGTGTCTGGTTGTTACCTAGCAGGTACTTTCTTTTCTCTAGTGCATAGAAAGTACCTGCTAGGTAACAACCAGATGTTTACCAGTCAGTCCATAATTTGGCCCTAATTGGTTTATAACAAACAATTTGTTGCCTTAGTTTTCATTGTATTTTCAAATATTTATGAAATATATACAGGGTTTTCTTTTTTCTATTTGAATCTCAATATTTAAAGAGGGGATTTTTGGGTCCATTTTAAGATTTTTTTTTTATATGAATGTATGTCTCAAACATCTTAACTTTTGGAATACAGGTTGATAAAGATTTGAAAAATAAATAATTTATTATCGAGTTTATTATTAATATTATCTATAACACCACAGATATAAAAATATTAATAATAAATGATTTACCTATTCCTAAAAACTTTATCACCCTGTATTTCAAAAGTTTAAGGCATTTTGGAGGACATACATTCATATAAAATTTTCTTCTTGAAATTGACCTTGATAACGCCCCCCTAAATGTTAACATTCATTACAAACCACCCTATATAATATATTTAGTTCCATTTTGTTTGCATCTAGTTCTCCTTGGAAATTTGACTCACTATGACATGCCATTTCAAAATTATTTTTTTCTACTGACGTTTCATAATAGCAACTTTTCGATTGTCATTTCAGTTTTGAAACGACATTCTTTTAGGCACTGAGTGCGTGAAAGTTACTTTTAGGCACTCAGTGCGTAAAAGTGACTTTTGAATGCGTAAAAGTGACTTATGAGTGCGTAAAAGTAATTTTTAAGCACTAGTGCCTAAAAGTGTCATTCATTATTCAGAAATAAAAAACACACTAAACACATATTTGAATTTTGTTTTGTATTTATTATGAATATTGAAAATGGAATTACTGAATTGAACGTTTGGGTTACTCAAAACAGAACTTTGTGTTATTACCTACTTTCTAGGATTTTAATTATTGATGTCGAATTTTGAAAAGAAAATCGCATGAAAAGTGTCAGGTGTCAAGTAAAAGCAGGTAACAAAGATTTTGGGTGTAATCGACTTATTCACATGAAATAAAATTGTGTTTTTTTATTATAAACTGCCAGTAGAAAAAATCTTGTATACAATACGTTACGAAACGATGTCTTTTAGTCACTCGACGTGTTGTCCAACTCGGCTTTGCCTCGTTGGACAATTTTCACGTCGCGTGCCTAAAAGACGCTCATTTCGTAACTTATTGTATAAATAGCTATTTATTTATTGGTTTTGGATTGAGTGGCAATGTTGCCAGCCAGAATGTAAAAAATAGATCACAAGCCGAGTCACAAGCAAAAAAGTGCTGTATAATGAAGTGCGATTTTGTTGAAAGCGTTTCCATCTAGTTGTTTTTTTTTTTTTTAATTTTGAATAATTTTTGGACAGCTACAAAAACCATAGAGGTCACCATACATTTTTCTATAGGGTTCCGGAACGACCAAATATCTCTTCTAAACCTGCTTATAGTAAATGAGAAGAAATTGCGTTTTGATGTTCAAGAACATGAACCCCTTGAAAAAAGTGACCATATTGTAATAACTGCCAAAATACAGCTTCAAATAATTGCACAGCCTACACATAAAATCTACAAAAGGAACTTTTGGAAGGCAGATCACACTGAAGTAAACCAAACCCTTCAGAAACAACTTGCACAGGCTACTAACCCACATTCATTTGAAGAATTCCCTGAGGCTTTGGAATTTACAATCAATAAGCCTATATCATACATACCACAGAAAGTTAATGCCCAAAAACCATGGTCGTCTAAGACCTATGCAAAGTTGGCACCCGAAAATCAAGCACACCTGATTTTCTCAGGAGTTCTGAGTACTTTTAGGATAGTTCTATAGTTCTGAGAGGGGTGCAACAATAGTTCTCATGCCTAAGTATTTTTTTTTTAAAAAACAAAAAAAGGGGTGCTAACTTCGCGCCGCACCCCTTTTTGATAGTGCAACAGTTCTCGAGTGATTTTTCGGTTCTAAGGGTATAGTTCTAGAGTTCCTGATAGAAATTATGAATAGTTCTGCAAAAATAAAGCTAATATAACGGAAAAAGCTTTCAGGCGCGCAGGTCGCGCGGCGCGCCGCAGCCGTATTGCGGGACATAGCATCCCGGTACATCAGACATTACGCGATACATTTGAAGGCTCGTTGAGATGTATGGAGGCTGCTGGGGTCAGAACTATGGGTTAGCACTCCATAGTTCTGGTGTCTACTATTACTCTACTATGGATAAATTTCAAAATTAACTGGGGTGCTGTGAAATACACCGGGTCTCCACGCGCATCCACGCTAAATTAGCATACTGGAGGCTGCTGGGGCCAGAACTATGTGTTATTTCTGCAGCACTCCATAGTTCTGGTGTCTACTATTAATCTACTATGGATACATTTCAAGATTAACTGGGGTGCTGTGAAATACACCGGGTTTCCACGCGCATCCACGCTAAATTGGCATACTGGAGGCTGCTGGGGCCAGAACTATGTGTTATTTCTGCAGCACTCCATAGTTCTGGTGTCTACTATTAATCTACTATGGATACATTTCAAAATTAACTGGGGTGCTGTGAAATACACCGGGTTTCCACGCGCATCCACGCTAAATTGGCATACTGGAGGCTGCTGGGGCCAGAACTATGTGTTATTTCTGCAGCACTCCATAGTTCTGGTGTCTACTATTAATCTACTATGGATAAATTTCAAAATTAACTGGGGTGCTGTGAAATACACCGCGTTTCCACGCGCATCCACGCTAAATTAGCATACTGGAGGCTGCTGGGGCCAGAACTATGGGTTATTTCTGCAGCACTCCATAGTTCTGGTGTCTACTATTAATCTACTATGGATAAATTTCAAAATTAACTGGGGTGCTGTGAAATACACCGGGTTTCCACGCGCATCCACGCTAAATTGGCATACTGGAGGCTGCTGGGGCCAGAACTATGTGTTATTTCTGCAGCACTCCCTAGTTCTGGTGTCTACTATTAATCTACTATGGATAAATTTCAAAATTAACTGGGGTGCTGTGAAATACACCGGGT